TCGGTTATAGTTAGGCTTGGAAAGATTAGATTTTTATCGGTAAATACTGATGAACATTGATTGCACTGTACATTCACATACTGATGGAAAAATATTTCTATCGATAAATCATCTATATTTCCAGATAGGCAAAATAAGAAAAAAATGCTGCTTGAGAACTTATTAGGATTCGATGTAAGGCTATTTACTTGGTATAGTTTGACATGGGATGTTGACTATTTGTGTTTTAACAGTCATAAAGCCTTCACTTTTTCCAATATTGACCTCTGTGGTCATAAAATAATTGCCTGGCCTCTCCCCTCCCCCACATAATTTCCTGAAACTGTGAAAATTTGAATCATAGACTATCAGGGTTGGAAGGGACCTTAGGAGGTCATCTAGTCCAACCCCCTGCTCAAAGCAGGACCAATCCCCAACTAAATCATCCCAGCCAGGGCTTTGTCAAGCCTGACCTTAGAATCATAGAATATCAGGGTTGGAAGGGACATCAGGAGGTCATCTAGTCCAGCCTTAATAACCTCTAAGGAAGATTCCACCACCTCCCTAGATAACCATTTAAAATCATTTAAAGTCCAGGACTTCTATGGCAGTATTCTCTGAAATGGTTCCTGTTCCATGCACAGGGCTGGTAAGAGAGCAGAACTGAAAACTCTTGATGTGTGGATCAGACAATGGTGTAGGGAGGAGGGAATTTCAGTTTATTGGGAACTGTGGAAGAACTCCACAGAAATCAAAATGGAACCTGATTGCTGCCACTTCAAATTCAGAAAAGATAGTAGAGGATTCTTTTTTTAAAATTAAGGGGTGTGGGAAAGTCAACAGGTGTGGAGGAGCACATGGTTCGGACAAAGACATCTCTTAGGGTTGAGTTTATTAAAGGGGGATGTTTATATGTCAGTAAAGAAGATACGAAAGAAGTTGGTAACATACAGATAGGAGCTAGCGAGGAACAGTCAAATGAAAAATAATCCCCTTTAAACAGAACATATGAAGGAAAGCAACTGAATATTGACAAAAATCTAGAAAGACTTGTATACAAATACAAGAAGTCGAAATAATACAATGGTTGAAACAAAGTGCTTGATATGTCATGAGGTATGGATATAATAGGCTAATCGGAAGGAAATGCGTTAGATTATCTTTTGTTTTAGCTTGTGAATTGTCCCTATGCTAAGGTCCCTCACCAAAGGCTCTTAAGCAAAGTAAGCTGTCATGTGATAAGAGGGAAGGTCCTCTCATGGATCAGTAACTGGTTAAAGGGCAGAAAATCAAAGGGTAGGAATAAATAGTTTTCACAATGGAGAGAGTTAAATGGTGGCGTTCCCCAAGGATCTGCACTGGGACCAGAGCTGTTCAACATATTCATAAACGATCTGGAAAAATGGGGAAACAGTGAGGCGGCAAAAAAAAAACCAACAACCCCAAAACCTCAAGAGTTAAGTCCCAAGCAGACTGCGAAGAGTTACAAAGGGATCTCACAGAACTGGGTGACTGGGCAACAAAATAGCAGATGAAATTCAAAACTGGTAAGGGCAAAGTGATGCACATTGAAAAAATTAATCCCAGCTATACATATAAAATGACGGGGTCTAAATTAGCTGTTACCACTCAAGAGCAGGATCTTGGAGTCACTGTGGATAGTTCTCTGAAAACATCCACTCGAGGTGCAGCAACAGTCAAAACAGCGAACAGAATGCTGGGAATCATTAAGAAAGGGATAGATAATAAGACAGAAAATATCACGTTGCCTCTATATAAATCCATGGTACACCCACATCTTGAATACTGCGAGCAGATGTGGTCGCCCCATCTCAAAAAAGATCTATTGGACTTGGAAAAGGTTCAGAAAAGGGCAACAAAAATGATGAGGGGTATGGAACGGCTTCCGTCTGAGGAGAGATTAAAAATATATATTTGAGCTGTTCGATTTAGGGCTGGTCTACACAAATTTAGGCTGGCTTAATGACATCACTGAAGCCTGTGAAAATGTTACACCCTGTGCAATGTAATTAAGCTGACCTAAGCCCCAGTGTAGACACTGCTGGGTCTATGGAAGAATTCTTTCAACTAAGATACCACCTCTCCATCAGTGTAGTAAGAGTCTACACTACAGTGCAAAAATAACACATACCCTTAAAAAAAAAAGAGGTGACTAAGGGGGGAATATGATAGAGGTCTATGCAATCATGAATGGTGTGGAGAAAGTGAACAGAGAAGTTCCATCATTGGAGATTTTTAAGAGCAGGCTGGACAGACACCTGTCAGGGATGGTCTAGATCATACCTAGTCCTGCCATGAGTGCAGGGGATGGGACTAGATGACCTCTCGAGGTCCCTTCCAGTCCTACGAGTCTATAAGTGTTAATTACCCTTTCCTCCAATACCAAAACCAGAGGTCACCTGACAAAATTAATAGGTAGCACGTTTAATACAAACAAAAGTATTTTTTTCCCCACACAACCTGTGGAGCTCATTCTCATGGGATGTTGTGTTGGCCAAAAGTATAACTGGCTTAAAAAAAAGCTAGAGAAGTTCATGGAGGATAGATCCATCAATGGCTATTAGCCAAGATGGTCAGGGATACAACCCCATGCTAGAGGTAACCCTACACTTCTGACTGCCAGAAGCCAGGAGGGGAAGATGTGTCGATCACTCCAACTATCCTGTACCTTCCCTCTCAATCTCTGATACGGGCCACAGTCGGAAGAGAGGATATCAGGCTAGATGGACCGTTGGTTTGACCAGTAAGGCTGTTCTTATGATAAAAACTGAAAAAATATGCTTAAAACCCACCGTTTTGAGCAACCGCGAAACATTAAATTGATAAAAATTGGGGAAAAAAGCTTAAAAATCAACATTGATATTATCCAAAGTATTAAAAATAAAAATCTCATTCTGCCTAGCCTAGCTATAGTTAAGTTCAGCATTGCTTTCTGTTTAAAAGCCAAATATTCTAATGACTCTGAAATCCACATGCTTACTCGGATTGTCTTGCAATTCACTGCGCACCAGGGGAGTGCAGAGCAGGGTTGCTCGGATAATATTTTCTGTGCAGGCCTCAGGCTGAAACAACGGGTTGAAATTGTCCTGACTGATCGCAGTCCCTTAGCATTTATCTCAGAGTACAGGGCACCCACCGCCTCTTTGGGAAAGCAGCACTGAAAGAATTTATAACTGTATCGTTTGCAATTTCAGATTGACGAGGAAACCCGAGGAGGCATAAGGACATGAAATGCAGCGAGATTAAGGCTGTTAATCACCAGAGGTTCCCGGCAATCCACTGTCACAAAGATTGGTTTGCTCCAGGGTGTATGCTGTTGAGTCTGAGCCATACCCCCGTCAACTTCCAGACAACAGGGGATAGGCAGGAGTTTCTTCTGGAAGTTTTGCCCTAATATCAACATTTCCAGATGAAAAGCAATATTTCAACATTCTTGAAAACCCACATCCCTAACTGATGTGGGTATGCCAGCAGATTTCACCCTAGATCCCTAAATGCGCCCCCTCAAGGATTGAACTCCCAACTCTAGGTTTAGCAAGCCAATGCTCAAACCACTGAGCTATCCTTCCCCCATCTTGTATAGACACAGTTAACAGGGGCAAAAAAGTCCATTAAAAAACAAAGTGCCCCATAGCTACATTAATGCAGAGTTGAGGTTGCCGAGTGGTACCGTAACCCACACGCCTTCTGGGTGTGGTGTTCCGGCCCATGTCGTGGCACCGATACCAATTAACAAGAGAGATTAAGGAGTTTGCTTAATGGCCAGTCGGCTTTCAGCTCATGACCTAAGTTCCAGAGGTTCCCCGGTTCGATCCTGCCCGCCGACAACTGGGGTCTGAACAAAATACCTCTGAAAACCAGGAGATGAAAAGTACGCCACGCCACCTTAACTCTGGCCCCCCCGTCCGCTAGCACTGCAGCTGGTAAGAACCACTCAGAAGAGTTCAGGAAGGGTAGTGCAAAGGTTAACAAACTACCAGGGAAGAAGAGGTGGCTTCTCCAGCGATTGAAGCCTTCAGTAGGATTTAGTCATACACAAGGTATTCAGCTGAATGCAGCCGTAACTGGATGAAATTCTATGGCTGTGTTGTACAGGAGACCAGACTATCTGACCTAGTCCCTTCCGGCTTTAAATTCCATGAATCTATCATGAATAGGAGGAAGGACTAAGAGAAGGTGCCATTGTTTGTGTTGTGTTCACAGACGGGAATCCCAGCATTTATCCGCATGCCCTGCAGCTGTGTGCACTGGGTCAGCTGTAGCTGTAACTGGATGGTGGAGGGATTAGTTGGAGCAGCTTGGCAGAGCTGTGGCTGTGATACAAAGGAAGGTGCATGGGAACCTCATTTCAGCGTTATAGGCCGTGCCAGTGAAGATACACAAGGGCGAGTTCTTGCCCAGGAGGATTGTCAGCGCTCTGGTGGCAGACATGCTGGTGGTCTTGAGGGTAAGTGGAGGCATTCATAGAAGATCAGGGTTGGAAGAGACCTCAGGAGGTATCTAGTCCAACCCCCCTGCTCAAAGCAGAACCAACCCCAACTAAATCATCCCAGCCAGGGCTTTGTCAAGCCTGACCTTAAATACCTCTAAGGAAGGAGATTCCACCACCTCCCTAGGGAACCCATTCCAGTGCTTCACCACCCTCCTAGTGAAAAAGTTTTCCTAATATCCAAAGGGTGACGGGCTTAGTAACACGTTGAAAGTCTATGATGGACTGTGTGTAGCAGACTCAGTGTTTGAGTGCAGGCCAGGGGTGGGAAGTTTCTATTCACTACACTGGACCTAACCCTAAATTTTGCCTTAGCAAAGAGAAGCTGTTAGACTGTACCGCACTTGTGCTCTGTTCCCAGTGTGCTCTGTAGCAGGGGCGGGCAGAGCATTAGCGTGCGGGTCACTGGCATGTTGCTGAAACAGGGCAGAGTTAAGGTTATATTGTGGGGTGTTGCGACCCTTAACTTTTCATTTCCCCTTCTAAGAACCCAGGGGACGGGGATCCTTACCCAGCGAGGTCACATTTTCATAGTTCTCCTGCATGACGACTCTGTAGAGGGCTCTCTGAACGGGGTCCAGCAGAGGCCCCTCTTCCCTGGTGAAATACACAGCCACCTCCTCGAAGGTCACCGGCCCCTGAAAGAGCAAGAGTCCAACACTCAGTACCTGCTGCCCCACTATTCATGGGGGAAAGAAACCAATCAAATGGAAGCTCTGGGTGGATCGCAGTCAGAGTCCCACCCCCACTCTGCGGAGATCAGGTGTGGGGAGAAAGAGAGAGCCCCTGGTCTCCCCCAGCAGATAAACAGGGGCAGTGTCTTCATATTCCTCACAAACCCACTAGCCTCCGACAGTGGTTTAGAGCCCCCAGCAGAGTCCACGGAGAGCCCCCTGGTACAAATTCCATGGCCAGCAGCTGGATGCGAGGGGATGGGGGCATCTCCCCTTAGCCTCACTGGTGGGTGCCCCCTTCATATCTCACCGCAGCCGCTGGTTAGTCGGGTCAGCCTCCAGCACTGGGGGTCTGGACCATTTTCTCTACCCAGTCCAGGGGTCCTGTTTCCTGTTCCACAAATTAGGGAATATCAATCCCAGAGCCCGCAAAGCCTTTCCTAGAAGCTAGGCCCCAATTTAAACAAGTCCCAGATGGTTTCTTGCACCTTGTTCCTCTCCCTTTCTCCACCCTGGGCATTTCCTGCCCCCTCCCATCTCCAGAAGCTGCGTCGTCCTATGTATTTACTGCCATTCTTCCTCCAGCAGGAACCCGCCAGCAATCCCCTGATAATCCTGACCTCACCTGGCTCTGGGACACCCATGGCCCCTCCCACCCCGCCGTTTCGCCAATTCTGGGCTGAGAAAACATGTGGTCGCTTTGTTACAATGCGGACCTGGCCTCTCCCACCCAGAGGTTTTTAACCCGTGACCTCTGAACCAACCATTAGAAAAGTACAGAAGTCACATTGGGGGGGGATTCCCCCAGACACGGTCCCCAGGGAGAACCAGGAACTGGCTTTTCCTCTCTCTCTCTGCTCCTCACCTTGTTCACAGAAGGTGAATCCACCCAGGGATGCTGCAAGAAGTGTGTCTGGGCAGGCCAGAGACCGACCAACTGCTCCCCCCACTTATTTCTCCCATCACCCCCCTTCAGTCTCTCCCCCTCTGGCTGGGAAAGTCCCATTTGGGAGTTGGTGGCTCTCCTGTGGCCAGATCGGCTCCTGCAATCGCTAATGAGAGGAGAGACGAGGGGCTGAGGAAGCAGAGTCACTTTCGTGCCCAGACCCAGCACCTTCCCGGAGGTCTCTCTGGCTCACAATTTAGTTGCAACGGGGCTGGAGAACGTCCTCCCCTTAGCTGGCCCAGAGGGAACTTTAGTGAAGGCCTCGCTCTCCTTAGCAGAGCCCCTGCTGGTGGAGCAGCAACTGCTAAGCCGGGTCTCCCAGATCACAACGGAGGCTGCAGCGTGTGACCCAAGAAGCCGAACCCCAATATCCTGAGCAGAGAGGGACAGAGCGTTTGAGCAGCTTCCCTCCTTTAGCTCTCTGGGAGCAGCTAATGAAACCATCTCCGCACAGGGACAGCTGCTGATCTCATTTATCCCATGTTAATCGGGAGTCACTCCTTGTCCTTTCTAGCAGCACCTCTGGATTAACACAGGTCCGAAGGTTTGTCTGCACCCCGCCAATGTGCGTAGGTTAATGTAGCCTGGGCGGGGGCTAATTCACCCAACAGGCCGCAGCTCAGAGGAATTGGCTGGCCAAGGGCCTGAGTGAGGGGGAAGAGCTGGCTTGGGGCTATAAGGCCAGGAAACGGGCAACAGAGAGGGCTGCTGGGGAAAGTCTGCGCCCGGCCAGGGGGTGGAGTCATGAAGCAGCAGCAGCAGCCGCTCGTGGCGCGAGAAAGGGGCTGCAGACCCAGAGGGAGAGACGCCATAGATGAGACCAGAAACGTGGAGGGATGACGTCAGAATCCTTTAAACACTTCCATGTCGGGGGGGGGGAGTGACCCTCTTCCGACCTCTCCCCTGATATCTAGGACAAGGACTCCAGGCACCCATTTGCCTTCCAAACATGTGACGTTCTTACAGTTTTGAAGTGGGAAGAGAAGCAAAACCGGTGGTGATTTCATATCCGACTTTGTAAGTGGATAGAAAGTTATCCCCACCCGTTGCTGGCCAATCACACAGGCAGAGGGAGGATGCTGCGTGAACAGGAGAACAGAGGAACCAAAAATATTTATGGTGTTTCCATGCCCGTCACTGGCCAGTAATGGCCACCAGGCACCCACCCCAGAAGCGGCTGCATCTCCGTGTTGGGGAAAGGAGCCCCTGATGGGAGACCATTCATCACATGGAGGGTGGGGGTACGTCCGGTGAAAATGGTGAGGAGAACGTGAGGGTAACATGGAGATGCTCGGGCACTGCAAGGTACCAGTTCCACACAGGGCAGCCCACTGAGGCGAGAACGCCTTGGATTGTGCCATCTGGGGAAAAGCAAAGAGTCCAGCTGACTGTCTGCTTAGCAGCTGGCAGACACTGATCCCCCTATCAAAAAGGGCAGGCCTCTGGCTGTAACGCCTATTAAATAGGGGGCAAGTCTATTTCATCGACCATTTTAAACGATTCTCAAATGAGAAGCAAGTTGATCAGGGGACAATTTAACCCCCCGAATCTGGAGACTGTTTCGGGGCAACAGGTTCCGTCCGAAAAAGCAGATGTTGTCACAATTAACCACCTCCACGCCTGAGGATTTTTAAGTGACAGCTGGGAATTAGGTGGAACGAGGCAAACCCTGAGATTTCAGACGCGTGTTCTGTAATGGAAGAGAAAGGGGTGGAAATCTGAACCACAGGACACTTTTCACACATTAAACGAAAGTGGCAAACTGTCTGAGCGCTTACAGGAACAGTTAATAGCTAACGAGCTAATAGCGTGAATTTCACATTCGTACTTGATCACGGGAAAGGGGCCGCATTTGCAAGGACTTTAGGTCCAGATTAAAGAACGTGAAGGGGAAAGCTGAGATTTTATGTTCCTATTTTATACACCTCTATCCCGATATAACGTGACCCGATAGAACACGAATTCGGATATAATGCGGTAAAGCAATGCTCCGGGGGGGCGGGGCTGCGCACTCCGGTGGATCAAAGCAAGTTTAAATAACGCGGTTTCACCTATAACGCGGTAAGATTTTTTGGCTCCCGAGGACAGCGTTATATAGAGGTAGAGGTGTAGTTAGAGATGGAAAAGTGTCAACACCTTAAAGTAGTAAGAGAAATAAGGGCACGTTTTTAGGGCATTTTAGAGCACTCTTTGAGATGTGCAGACAAAACAGGTCAAAAATTGGGACGCAGACAAAACAGGTCAAAAATTGGGATGTATTTTGATAAAATGCTGATGATACGAGAGGGGAAAACACCGAGATGGGAGGGGATTTTATATCCAAATTAAAGAAAGAGTGGAGGGGAGAAGTGGACTCACTGGAAGGGATTTTAAGATGAATGTTTAATAAACAGTCCTGGATCCCTCACCCCCCATGGGCAGCAAGGTGCCCTTTGAAAAGCTGCTTTGAGAGGGGAAGCAGAGGGCTTGGCGCAGGAAGGGCTACGTGAGAGCAGGGATGGGGCCGCAGAGGGTGACTGGCAGCGGGAGGGAGGCGAGGGGGGGAGTTGTTTGGGGCGGGTGAGAATACAGCGGCTGTGACTGGGTTATCTGGGGCTGGGCACATGGGGGACCCTTGCTCCTCCCTTCCCCTCCTGTGCCCCTTCCATGCCCTGTTGCTAGCAGAAAATCACCCCTTTGTCTCCACCCCAGAGCCAGCCGCAAGCTGCACCCAACTAATCCCCTTTTCCTTTGGGGAATGACTCAGGGCAAGAGTCTACCACCTAAGCCAGGTCCATGAGCCGCATATTGAGAAGGTGGAGGGGACAAAAACAACACATTTGAGACGTTACATTGATATTTGAGAACTAGGGGACCTCGTTCCCCACCAGGAGCAGATCCTGCCCTGGGCACCTGCTTTAATGCAGCTCCGGTCCTGCCCACGGGTGCATTAGCAGCAAGGGGGCCGATTCCGGGGGGGGGGGGGAGGCTGGGAGATTTAATGCCTCCAGGTGCCCTTGGGCAGAGAGTCACTTTCCTGCCCCCCAGCACGTTCCCACGGGCTCTGTCCATTACCTGGCTCCGGAGTGGATGCGGGCAGAGTCCGGGGGGCTTGTCGCCCCCCGCGGCCGGGCAGGGAGGGGTTAATGCCGGGCCTCCCCCCCCCCAGCACAGACTCGCCCCCGTGTCTGCTGCTCTCCGGGCTTTGTTCTCCCGGCTCCTGCCTCCTTCCTCCCGGCACCCACCGCTCCCAGCTGCTCCAGCCCCTTCCTGTGCCCTGTAAATCACAGCCCGCTGCTGCAGCGCTGGCTGGGGCGGAGCACGTCAGCACTGGCTCCGGCGGGGGCTGCCCCACAGCTGCTGCCGCCACCCAGGGGCTGGCTCCGCTGCAGCAGACCGGGGTGTCCTGAGCTCCGGCGCGGCCTCTGCCCCACGGGGTTTTGTCCACACACGTGTGCAGCCGGCGAGATGCAAAGCCGGTCCCATGGCAGGGCTGGTGCATGTCCACACGGCGCCGGAGCGTCCACACTGGGTGCGCTGGCGTGGGCAGGAGAGCAGGGCACGGGGGGGAGTAGCTACACAGGCCCCGGAGGCGCGCAATGCCGCTCCCCTGCCCCCAAACCCCCACCCCTGCCCCACTTTTTCCTGCCCCCACGCCACCTTTTCCCACCCCTGCTCTGCCCCCAGGCCCGCCCCACCCGACCCCTTCCCCCAAGCTCTCACCCCCATCCCCTGCCTCTTCCCACCTCTGCTCCACTCCAGCCCCCCCCCACTCTGCCTCCCTCATCCCCGTCCCCTGCCTCTTCACACCCCTGCTCTGCCCCCAGCCTCGCCTCTTCCTGCCCCCGGTCCACCCCTTCTCCCAAACCCCCACCCCTGCCCCACCTCTTCCCAACCCCGCTCCGCCCCCACCGCACAACACCCCTTCCCTGAAGCCCCCACCCCGTCCCACTCCTGCTCTGCTGCCAGGCCCACCCCACCCCTTCCCCCAAACCCCCGCCTCTTCCCACCCCTGCTCTGCCGCCAAACCCGCTCCCAGTCCTTATCCCAAGCCCTCACCCCATCCCCTGCCTCTTCTCACCC